ACACTGTCTCTCCTATTTGCCTGCAGATCAAGACACAAAAATTCAAGTCTGGAAGACTCTGAAGTGGCGAGTTCATTTGAAGGGTGCAGGTCACATTCATTCCTCTGTGTTAGCTGTGCTTTTTGTGCAGTCAGACTTGGCATTATCTACCAATATATAACAGCCTTGAGGGTATCTCAAGAGCAGTATTAATTCACAATACTCAGGAATTAGGCAGAGGAGAATAGGGGGCATGGAGGTACAAATAAATGATTTTTCCATTTACTTACAATTCTGCACTAGGGTCCTTTAGAGAGCCTGACGGTTTCACACCAGTTGAGATCTGGGCAGAGGACCTGAGAATAATGTGAAATCTCTTGAAAGATTGAATGGTGAAATGGAAAGGACATTGGTGGGGGTCTGAGAAACCAGGGAGGTGATCCTTTGCCTCCAGGACTTATTACCAGCAGTGTAAAGAGGTCTGTGACTTGATCGAGTCACTAAACTATCTCTGAACCTATTTTTTTTTAAAAGATAACACCAACACCTACCCTCCTGGTGTATTAAGAGTAATTGAAATAATATTTGTAAGTCAATTAGCATAGAGCAGGCACTCAGTAAAGGTTAGTTGGTTAGGCTGGGCATGGTGGCTCACGCTTGTAGTCCCAGTACTTTGGGAGGCCGAGGTGGGAGGATCAGCTGAGGTCGGGAGTTCGAGACTAGCCTGACCAACATGGAGAAACCCCATCTCTACTAAAAAATAAAAGAATTAGCCGGGCGTGGTGGCATATACCTGTCATCCCAGCTACTTGGGAGGCTGAGGCAGGAGAATCACCTGAACCCGGGAGGCGGAGTTCGCGGTGAGCTGAGATAACGCCCATTGCATTCCAGCCTGGGTGACAAGAGTAAAACTCCGTCTTTAAAAAAAAAAAAAAAAAAGTTAGTTGGTTAGTTTTCTCTATTCTCCCCACCCCGCGTCTAACTCAGGCAGAGATGTTACTGGTCTTTGTAACTACATTAATCAGTGAGAAACTGCTTGGGTTTCATGTGCAATGATATTGGAAAGAAAATACATTTAATGAACTGCATTAAGTTTAGCAAACTGCCTTATGCTTTTGTTTTGAAAGGAAGAAGACATCTGTAAAATATGAACTGCGTGGGAAAATAAATTTAAAATGCATAAAGTAATGGAAAGGCAATTACATTTATAATTATTCAAAGAAATAGAATATGGTGTGGTCAGATTTTTAACAGTGGAAATTTTGCATAATAAACTCTGGTAACCCTAGGAGGAGATCACCAGGAAGGGGAAAATGAGTAACAGAAATGCTTATGTTTTAAAATGAAGAAGTGATATAACTATAATTCTTAGCACAGGTGTAAAGCATGCTATTGGAAATACATCAGATTGGTTATGCAAATAAGCCCCAATTTAATCTATTACAAACATTTTCAACTAATGAAATTAGGCATGAAATGTTGGAAAAATTGGTGCATTTAAGTTTTAACTTTCCAGAGAGCCTACTATTCTGACCATAAGAAACATCATCTTTAAAATAACCTGTAGCCGTTGATCTAGTAATTTTGGATAAAATAATGGAACAGCTCCAATGGAAGAATATATAGTTTATGCCAGTCTATTCATAGCAATATATAAAAAATACATAGGTAAGTAAATGTAAATATGTTCGTATATATTCTGTGAAAATGTACACATATAAACAAGATCCTATTGCGATCTGGCAAAGCAAAAAGCAAAATAGAATAATATGTACTACTAAAAATCATAAGTCCACAAACTATCAATATTCAGAAATAGGTAAACGAAATAAATTTAAAAAGAAAGTCATCCTATTATATCTTTTTATTTTGTATTCTTTTGAGATGGACTTTCACTCTTGTAGCCGAGGTTGGAGTACAGTGGCGTGATCTCAGCTCACTACAACTTCCGTCTCCTGAGTTCAAGCGAGTCTTGTGCCTTAGCACAAGTAGTAGCTGGGATTACGTGCCCACCACCACGCCTGGCTAATTTTTGTATTTCTAGTAGAGATGGAGTTTCACCATATTGGCCAGGTTAGTCTTGAACTCCTGACCTCAGGTGAACTCCTGACCTCAGGTGATACGCCTTTCTTGGCCTCCCAGAGTGCTGGGATTATAGGCGTGAGCCACCTTGCCCAGCCTATTATATCTTATTTACAGTTTTGGCTGCTGTTTCAGTGACATAGAGAAGCACAAGACTGACAGCTTCAGGGAAATGAAATTCCAGCGTGGGAAGATAGGTAACAATGTGCAAATATTGACTAAATAAATTTGGATGAATAAATGCTGTGAAGGAAGTAAGACGGCAGTAGAATGGAGAGGATCACGGTGCCTAGGACTGGCCCTATCCTAGGAAGGCTGAGGCGGGGAGGATTCCTGAGCTGAGCTGTGGTGTTGGAGGAGTGGGCCAGTAACGATGTGGGCTCAGGGAACAGAAAGTTAAGGGTTTTCAGACTGGAGTGAGTTTGGTATGTGTGAACCAACAGCAGCCAGTGTGTCTAGATCTTAGAGAACAATTGTATGTTGACCTGGTTTATATTAGGAACTAAGTTATTTTATTTACTTACTTTTATTATTTTGAGACAGTCTCACTCTGTCATCCAGGCTGGAGTGCAGTGGTATGATCTTGGCTCACTGCAACCTCCGCCTCCTGGGTTCATGCCATTCTCCTGCCTCAGCCTCCTGAGTAGCTGGGACTACAGGCATCCGCCACCACGCCTGGCTAAGTTTTGTATTTGTAGTAGAGACGGGGTTTCACCATGTTGGCCAGGCTGGTCTCCACCTCCTAACCCCAGGTGATCTGTCTGCCTCAGCCTCCCAAAGTGCTGGGGTTACAGGCGTGGGCTACCTTGGCCAGTTGTTTTTTTCTTTTTTTGGAGACAGGGTCTCCTCTGTTGCCTAGGCTGGAGTGCAGTGGCACCATCTTGGCTCACTGCAATCTTCTCCTCCTGGGTTCAAGTGATTCTCATGCCTCAGCCTCCCAAGTAGCTGGTATTAAAGGTGTACAGGACCATGCCCAGCTAATTTTTGTAATTTTAGTAGAGATAGGGTTTCAGTTTCACCATGTTGGCTGGGCTGGTCTCAAACTCCTGGCCTCAAGTGATCTGGCCACCTTGGCCTTCCAAAGTGCTTGGATTACAGGTGTGAACTACCACACTGGCCATATTTTACATTTTAACACAACCACATTTTATTTTTCTTTATCAGTTATCTTTTCAGTCACCCCCAAACCTAATGACTAAAAGAGCAGCCATTTATTTCAGTGTGTGCTTTACTCACTGGACAGTTACCTGTCCCTCTGAACGGCCTCATGCATGTATAGGGAAGCTCTGCCTCTGCAGGCTGGCTGGCTGCTGCGGCAACTAGGGGGCCACTGAGCCAGGAGTCATTCATCAGTGAGCTGGCGAGCCTGGGCTTGTTCTCATGGAGGACTTAGGGTTCCGGGAGAGTGGAGCAGAGGTGTGTAACATTCCTTGAGGTGGAGGCTCTGAATTGGCACAGTGTCACTTTCTCTGTATTCTATTGGCTACAAGACTAGCCCAGGTTCAAGGGGTGGGAAATAGATGAGTTTCCATGGGAGGAACTGCAATGTCAGTGCACTGAGATGTGCCTACAAGGAGGGCTGGAGGATTGGTCCATGCTTGCAATCCATCCCATTTCGCCTTATGCTTGGTGCTTTTCTTCTATACTTTAGGTATAGGAAATTACAATCCTGTATGATCCAACATTTTACAATTTTGCCTTTTCATATTTAGGTCTTTCAGTGTTTACATATTATTTTAAAAAATTGAGAACAGCACGATAAACATGAGGAAAAATGAAGTTTCAAAAACTGACGGTGGGGAATGTTAAAAGGGTTAGAGGCTGTGCACGTGGCAGAGCAGGGGCTATTTGGGGAATCTTTGTATCTTCAGCTCAGTTTTACTGTGAGCCTAAAACTGCTCTAAAAATAGTCTGTTAGACAATTGTATTACCATAATATGACTCATCTTCATTATGACAGTAATGTGTGAAGGAGACATACAGGAAGACAGGAGCTGTGTGAAGTGCAGAAATCAGTGAACACCTTCTTAGAAAGTGCTTTAAATCAGAGGCAGGATTGTATACTTGTCAGGCTGTGGCCTTTGGACCAGTGGTTCTGAAGAATAGTTAAGCCTTTGCTGCTATTGTTTGTAGCTGTGCCAACCTTATGCAGATTACTCAACATCTTTGAGGTTTGGCCTCTTTGTAAAATGGTATAATAATCTTTATATATCTCTTGAGAATTTTTGAATGAAATGAAATATGCATATCACCTAGCATGGTGCAAGGCCTGTAAAATAAATGTTAGCCTATTTTAGAAGTAGTTTTCCACTCTTCTGTTAATCTCCAATTAAGATGAGGACCTCTGTAGGTCTTTTGCAGAATTAATTGTTCCTACCATTTCTTCTTGGCCTTCACTTCCCTCCCTGATGCTGTTTTCTGTGAACATTCTTTTTGAATCTTCTGGGTTTCTCTGACTGGAGTGGTTATTTGGCAATCGATTAAGAGCAGCTGGTTGGCTGACCTTGGGCTTTTGAGATCCTTATGTTTGAAACCATGGCAGGCATCCAGATCGCATCAAGCCACTATCAGGTGTGTGTGTTCCTGATCACAGCCTGAACTTTAGAATTGGGCACATCCTGACTGGCATGAGCAGAGAAAGGGAGAATACTTTAGGGAACAATGTGAAAGAATCAGATCTGAGGAATAAGAAGGTGGGGGAGGGAATAAACATTTCTCCAGCGTCTGTTCTGTGGCAGGGTATAGACTAGAAGGCAAAGGCTACCCAGAGCGTGCCAGGTTGAAGATGGCAGGCCATTTGGCAAGGGAGTTGGGTCATGCCTTCTCATAGATCGAGTGGAGGACAGCTCTACAGCTTTACCAACTTTAGGAGGAATAAATTTCTTTTATGGCTTGACTTAAAACAATAACCCAAGTCATCGTTATACTTTTCTTCCTAGGTTTGTCGGTGGCCCAGCGGAAGTTTGCTCATTCACTCAGAGACTTTAAGTTTGAGTTTATCGGTGATGCTGTGACAGATGATGAACGATGCATAGGTAAATAAACATGAGATTTTGGTTTGTTTTCCTTTGCCATGGCCACCAAATAATCACTCCTTTCTTGTTACAGATGCTTCCTTACGTGAATTTTCAAATTTTTTGAAGAATCTGGAGGAACAGAGAGAAATTATGGTGAGTTGAGAGGGGTGTAAATTAAGTCAGATTTCAAGGGGGAAAAATCTGGTTTTGGAAGCTGGTTCTGGTAGAAGTTGTGATGCATTTATCTCTGAGTACAGTAGTGCATTGTAATGGAAACATGAGGTTTCAGGAGCCCTGATTTCTTGTTCCATGAGGGGACTGACCACGGTCAGAACTTGGAGAAGCTGCAGGACCTCCACCAAGGCCTTGCTTTTGCGTCTGTAAAGTGGACAGTGGGACTACATCACTGCTTTCTAGCTTTTTGTTGCAGCAGAGCACTTTCATTTATGTAGACTCTCATGCAGAAGCTTAATATATTAGGGGAATAAAAGCAGGAAAACTTACGTAGAAGCAGAGGACAGCTGGGCGATGTTAAATCCTGACTCATACCCCTGTAGATTTCTAGGCTGCGTGGAAAGGGAGAGAACCTGGGCCTTAGAGGTCTTTGAGATCCCACTTTGCATCAAGATTCATGATCATAACAAGAATAAGAAGAACTACCCTTGGCCAGGCGTGGTGGGTCATGCCTGTAATTCCAGCCCTTTGAGAGACTGGGTGGGTGGATTGCACAAGCTCAGGAGTTTGACACCAGCCTGGCCAACATGGTAAAACCCCATCTCTACAAAAATACAAAAACTAGGCTGGGTGCAGTGACTCATGCCTGCAATCCCAGCACTTTGGGAGGCTGCTGTGGGCAGATCACCTGAGGTCGGGAGTTTGAGACCAGCCTGACCAACATAGAGAAACCCCATATCTACTAAAAAAATACAAAATTAGCTGGGCGTTGTGGCACATGCCTGTAATCCCAGCTACTCGGGAGGCTGATGCAGGAGAACCTTGAACCCAGTAGGTAGATGTTGTGGTGAGCCAAGATCGCACCATTGCACTCTAGCCTGGGCAGCAAGAATGAAACCCCGTCTCAAAAAAAACCAAAAAAACAGAAAACACTAGCCAGATGTGGTGGCATATGCCCGTGGTCCCAGCTACTTAGGAGGCTGAGGTGGAAGGATCACTTGAGCCCAGGAGGCTGAGGTTGCAGTGAGCTGAGATTGTGCCACTGCCCTCCAGCCTGGGTGACAGAGCAAGACCCTGTCTCAAAGCAAAACAAAACAAAAACTATCCCCCATGGAGTGCTCTTCATATGCAATGCTGTGCTGAGTGCCTTAAGTGTATGATCTCATTTAACACGCACTCAGCTGTACATTTGGGAGTTACTGAATAATTGCCTGCTTTTCTGAAAAGCTTACATTACCTTCCTAATGATATTCTTTAATTAAACCAGATTTACAGCAGAATTGCTACTAGGTTATGACACACTATCTATTCTCACCATTTATTTCAGGCTTAAAAAAAATACAGATTCAGGCTGGGCGAGGTGGCCCATGCCTGTAATCCCAGCAGGCCAAGGTGGGTGGGTCACCTGAGGTTAGGAGTTCGAGACCAGTCTGGCCAACTTGGTGAGACCCCGTCTCTACTAAAAATACAAAAAAATTAGCTGGGTGTGGTGGCATGCACCTGTAATCCCAGCTACTTGGGAGGCTGAGGCAGGAGAATCACTTGAACCTGGGAGGTGGAGGTTGCAGTGAGCCAAGAGTACACCACTGCACTCCAACCTTAGCAACAGAATGGGACTCTGTCTCAAAAAAAAAGAAAAAAAATATTCTTTTTTCTATATTCTTGAAAATAAGTACTGTCTAGAATTATGTTACAGTGTGTGTGTGTGAGTGGGTTTAGATGTGGTAGAAATAATACTGGACATATTAGCTAAGTTGGTTTACCTTGACTGTGTGCCAGTGTATTAGTCTGTTCTTACACTGCTATGAAGAAATACCTGAGACTGGGTAATTTATAAAGGAAAGAGTTTTAATTGACTCACAGTGCTGCATTGCTGGGGAGGCCTCGGGAAACTTAGAATCATGGCGGAAGGCAAAGGAGAAGCAGGCACCTTCTTCACAAGGCGGCAGGATGGGCTGAGTGCAGGCGCGGGAAATGCCAGATGCTTATAGAACCATCAGATCTCACAGGAACTCACTATCATGAGAACAGCATGGGGGAAACCACAAGTTACCTCCACCTGGTCCTACCTTTGACATGTGGGGATTATGGAGTTTACACTTTCAGGTAAGATTTGGGTGAGGACACAGAGCCAAACCATATCAGCCAGGAGCTGTTCTAAGCTATTTACCTAATACAAAGTCACTGAATTCTCACATCAACCCTATGAGATAGATTCTGCTATTGTTCCCCATTTAACGGATGAGGAAACTGAGGCACTTTACCTTGCCCTAGATCACATGGCATCTAGGAGGTAGAGCTGGTTTGTGTTAAGAAGCTGGCACTCTGAACTGCCCTCCCTGTCACTGCAACTGGCATCATAGGTGTCACTCTAATTTCCTGGGTGGTGGCTGGTGGGTATTTATGTTGGGTAGGGCTGCAGGAGGACACTGATTTGGATTTAAAAAGTGACAGAGGGCCAGGCCTGGTGGCTGACGCCTGTAATCCCAGCACTTTGGGAGGCTGGGGTGGGTGGATCACCTGAGGTCAGAAGTTTGAGACCAGCCTGGCCAACCTGGTGAAACCCTATCTCTACTAAAATTACAAAAATTAGCTGGGCATGGTGGTGGGCACCTGTAATCCCAGCTACTCGGGAGACTGAGGCAGGAGAATCACTTGAACCCGGGAGGCGGAGGTTGCAGTGAGCTGAGATTGCGCCACTGCACTCCATCCTGGGCAACAGAGCAAGACTCCATCTCAAGAGAAAAAAAAAGTGACAGAGGCATATGTCCTCAAAAGCCCTAATGTAATTTGCACTCATTCCTAAATTTTGAGGTAATTTGTGTGTATATAATGTAGATACTGTAGAGAGTATGTGAAGACCTGTGGCCCCATGAGGTTTTTCTGGCACACACTGACAGATTCGATCATTATTCATGTGATCCTGTAGTCATCAATTTTTCAGCTATTTAGGAAAGACTAAATAAAATGGTGAATAAAAATAGCGTCGTGATGTCACCTTTCTAGTACATGGAGTAGATGTGTGGGCTGGTGAGGTACGTGTTTTTAGTTTACGTTAAGAGTGTCAATTTTTCGTTCTTAACCCTCTTTGACGGTTGTACTTTCCTGGCATCCTGAACATTTAGCACATACCTATTGATCTCTTTTTATGTTCCAGTTGCTGTTGAGAAACTCAGGACATAGGTAAAGGCAAAGAAAGCAAAAGTCCCTGTCTTCATGGAGGTTAGATTCTAGGCAGGGGTAGTGAAGTAGAAATAAACCTGTAATCCATTGGCAGGCAGTGAAAAATGCTACAAAACAGTACAGGGCAAGGAGCCAGGTGGGGCGGGGCCACAGCATATCTGGAGTGGTGAGGTGCTGACTACCTTTTCAGTAGGGTACTGCACAAAGGGCATCATCCTGGTGTCTGGAGGAAGAGTTCCGAGCAGAGTGGTGCTGGATTTTAGCTCTGCAGAAATAGTGTGTGACCATTGTCAGGCTCAGTATTCTGTTTCTGTTTTAGGTTCCTTGAAATGGAGTGATGAGGTCCAGAAACGGGAACATGGTATTGGCTCCAGGCTGTGTGGAGTAGACAGCATGGTTTGCAGAGCTGTTGTTAGCCAACTGACTGGTTTAATCTCCAGCTGTGATGGAGGTTGATAGGGTCTCTGTGTTAGATGAGGTTGGGTTCCTGTGCAGGGTAGGAATGAGAATAGGGTGGTGTCTGTATAAGGCCATGAACCTTAGAGAGGAGTGCTGTGGTGTGTCACACACAACCCATTGTGGGAACAGAAACACCTGCTGGAAAGCAGGACGCTGTCCAAAGCTGGGATGGGTGGTAGCCATGGCCAACCACGGAATTAACAGGACACCTCCTAATGCTTTCTTCCTTTTTAGCTTGGAAAATTTCAAACATGTACCAAAGTCGAGAGAAATATACAATGAAACTACATGGACTCAACACCCAGCCTCAGACCAGTCTCATTTCTCCTGTGATCCTTACTCCCCCTGGCCCCCTGCTATCCTCATTATTTTGACAGAAAGCCCAGTTTCATTCACAAATACTTCAGTATATATCTCAAAAAGCGGACACTTAAAAAAACACAGTGTCTTTATCACAATCAGCAATTTCTTAATTTTATGAAAAATTAGGTCATATTCAAGTTTTCCTGATACTCATTCAAATTCTGTCTCTTTCCCTTCCCCACCGCCACCCCCAATAACAGTTGGTCTGTTTGAATCTGAATCCCAACATATTACATTTAATTGATACATTTCCAAGTCACTTTATAGGCCCTTCTCCCCATCTGCTTTTTTTCCCCTTTACAAGAATTCCTGATCCTTTTATATTTGCCTCAGAAACCTTTAAAATAGTACTTTCCTAAGTTATCAGTGAGTTGGAATAATGAAATTAGTAAAAGTTGAAAAGTTGGACACTTAACCCATATTGACATTATTTAGGTACTTCTCATCTTGATAGTCACTGATCACTTTTTTTTAAGTGGAATCACTGTGGCTACCTTTGTTTATTTAAATACCTTTGAATACGTCCTAAAACATAACTGATGCATTACTAAACATTTGCCTGAAACTTTTGGGTCAGAATAGATACTTGCCTTAAGAAATTTCCAGTGTGATACTGGAGAGTAAGTGGGAAAGAGCTAATTAAAATAGCCTACACTAAGTGCTTCCCAAGACAAGGAATGGGAAAAGAAAACAATATACAAAGTACGCCAGCAAAGATAGTGTGACTCACATAGAGTGGGCAGCCCCTAAGCTTGTGGTTGTTAGGAAAGGGTTCATGGGGTGGAGACACAGCAGAGGGCCTTTGTATAGTTTAGCAAGCCCATACCTCCGACACTGGTACAAGGAGAAAAGGAATGTCTTTAAGCAGCTAAAATGGTTGCCAGTACATTCTGAGAACTTTGAAAGACTCTTGTTTTACTTAAAAAATTGTTTTAACTTAAAAGTTTTACAAACCATCAGCATGTTAAAAGCCA